CACCCATTCAACCTCACTCAACCTCAACCATGCACGTGCTCGCTCACTTATTTTTGTTTGGTTTGTTAGTGAGTTTGTTTGTTATTTTGTTGGCTTTTTAGTTGGTTTGCCAGTTGACTCCGACTTGCACATCTGAGGTAATGGCTTTGAAGGTCTTGAGTGCCTTGGTGGTTCTTGCAGGGGGTTGGGGCATGGAGGTCCCACCCTGTTGGACAGTCCACCAGATGATGAGGTGGAGTTTGAAGTGGCCTTAGTGCTTTCGATGCCACCCTGTGAAAACGGGATCCCCTTGCCAAGCTTCCCCACCTTTTCACCCATGGCCGACATGGATGATACCGACATGGAGGCTGAGTTTGTTGCAGAAGATCAGTTTGTTGAAGAAGATCCATACATGTTGGAACCAGAGGTCAAGGTGGAAGAAATGAAAGAGGAGCCTGCAGAAGAGTCACCGGCAGCAGAAGCGCCTCCATCTGCGCAGGAGGAAGTGACTCCACAGGCGGCGTACTCCGCTGCTGTCACCTTGCATGTGGACCTGAAGGCCGTGGTGCGCCTGCCGCACGCGCAATGGGAGGCTGTGTTGCGGCAGGCTTACAGGAAGCTCTGCCGCACGCAGCACCCCGACAAGGGGGCGAATCTTTCACTTCCTTGAAACCTGCCTTGGACAGCTTGCTGTCTTGGCTCCAGAGGCATTTGGCAGATTGCCAAGAACTGCAGAAAAAAATCCCAGACTTTGGCTGCTTTTGCCTCCAATGCCGGCGGCAATACCAGCGGATGTCCAGCTGTCCAAATTGCATGGGCCTGGCATCCGCTAAAGGTAAGCCGCGCAAAGGCTGTGATATCCCCACAGGGGCCGGCCACTTGAAAAGGCACTACCCTACCTGGTGGGGGGAGTAATGTTGGATCCTGATTAGTAAATAGGTCCTCTATAATGCTAAACTTTTCCAAATTTATTCAGACCCCCCTGTTTGAAAAATGGTACCTCTATAATGCTAAATTTTTTTGGGGCCCTAAAGTTTTAAATTGGAAACCCAATTAATAAGGGTTTGAATTCCTTCTGAGGC